AGTCCTCTGGTGAAGTGGCTGGGGAATCCCAGACTTATCTCAGCATCTCAGCTCCTCCTCTCCTGTGTCCTCCGATCCCCTGGTGGCTTGGGGCTCTCGAAAGCACCAGTGGTGCTTCTTTCATGTCAGCTGTCCCCCCTATTCTTTTTTAAAAATATATATATATTATTGAATTTTTACATAGAGGAAAGGAAAGGGATAGAGAGTTAGAAATATCGATCAGCTGCCTCCTGCATGCTCCCTACTGGGGATGTGCTTGCAACCAAGGTACATGCCCTTGACCAGAATTGAACCTGGGACCCTTGAGTCAGCAGGCCGACATTCTATCCACAGAGCCAAACCTGCTAGGGCCCAGATACCTATTCTTATTGATCTCATATAAACACTTGTTTTCCTCTCACTTTGAAAGGTCTTTTTAACTTTTAAGTTAACACCCACTAAAATGTCTTTAGTGCTCATTTCTGGCACTGCCGGTTTCCAGTTGTACAAGCAATGTCAAACTTGTCTCCTCTCAGCTCGGCTTTCTTCTGTGTGCTTCATTTCCAAAGTGGCTCTGCCCACATGGTTGCAAAGATAACGGCCTGGAGTAGGCTTTCTACCAGTTTAGCAACCAGTTGAAAATGATCTTTTCTCTAGTTCCAGAAAAATCCCTAGACCAGTGGTTCCCAACCTTGGCTGCACATTAGAATCACCTGGGAATCTTTTTAAAATCCTGACTTCCAGCCAGCACTGGTTTGGCTCAGTGGATGGAGCATCCGCCTGCGGACTGAAGGGTCCCGGGTTCAGTTCCGGTCAAGGGCATGTACCTTGGTTGAGGGCACAAAAAGATTCCCAGGTGATTCTAATGTGCAGCCAAGGTTGAGAACCGCTGCCCTACTAGTGGTTCTCTACTAGCCCTAGGCTAGACCATCGATCATTGGTCTGGCTTAGAACATGTGACCAACCCTAAACCAATCCCTAAGTCTAATTGGCCAGACCTGGGTCTAGTTATCACTCCTAAAGTGGGGTGGGTCTGCCGCACCTGCACCTGTGGTTTGAGTAGCAAAGAGTTCACCACTACACCAATGGATTAAACATTGTTGTCAGTTTTAATTATGTCATTGACAACAATGAAGAAAAATTAAAAGCTAGCAAAGTGTCTTTAATCCTACCAACCATAATTTCTAAGAAAAAAAGTGTGAGAGAGGCTATTGCAGTAATTCAAAGGAGAAATTGAGAGACAAGATGTAGAAGTCACTCCATACTGTAATGAATGAGCACATTTTTAGCTGAGCACTTTAAAGAATAACGGTAGGTCTGACCAACCCATCCATTTGAAACTCGCAGGTTATTGATTGGATAGGCCGGAATGAAATAGCAAAAAGAGCTGGTTTACCAAAAGGATATAGGCGGGGCAGTTTTTGCTGATAATCTTACCTCATGGCGTCAGCTTCCACTACATTCTTGCGACTCCACCGTCGGTAGAGCCTAAGCTTCAGGGGGGCCGTGTCCCGCAGGCACCTTAAACTCAGGCAAGTCCAAAGCTGACTTTGGCGCTCCCTCTTCACGCCCAGCCTGGGCCTCCTCCACCCACTTCGTTGTCCAAGCCAGAAACTTGGGAGCCACCCCAGACGACTTCCTCACCCTCACCCCCAATCTAGTCACCGCATTGCATTCACCTCCCCCAAAATCTCAATCCACTCCTGCCTTCCCCGCTGCCGCGGCTCTAGTTCAGGCCTCGGATCTCACCTGCCATGTATCGACAGCCTCGGAACTTCGTCCTCAGCTCCAGTTCCAGCCCCTGCAGTCCCTCCTCCTCGCAGGAGCCACCGGGACCTTCCTAACACGCAAATCTGAAAACGACACCCCTGTTTTCAGGTCCTCCTCCGGCTCCTCTATTCTGGAGGAAGAAACCCAAGCCCCTCAGCAGGGAAGCCAGGTTACGGGAGCGGGGGAGAGGGAATCGGCCCGGTGCACGAGGGGCACTGGGATGAGGGAAACACCTGGGTAGAGTTTGCAGGCTGAGGGGGCGGGCCCCGCTGGTC